TCTGCACATAAAGTAAATATAAATAAAGGCATATGAAAAATCTTATAAACACATGCAAGATTCAAACTCACGACCACTGCAATGCGCCTTACCACTGTAAGTAGATACGCACCTCAGTACGCCACAATCGCTGACGTAAAATAATCGTCTCCATAAAGAAATGCTTATTTTCAACAAAACATTACTACAGAATTGTTTATTTCATAAAGCTTTTATCTAGAGTAAGTTAGTACAAAAGAAGGAGGAATCAGTGTTGGGTTCAAACATGACAGTGAATGTGTATATATGTTGCATGACTTAATTAATTACTTGTAATAAACATTGTAACTATACTTTTGATAAGACTGAACTAAACTAATGCATTGGTATACCATTATACTATTTAATTTTCTTTGCTATTGAAATTAATAATTTAACGGCATTTATGAGGACAACATTTTCTGAATATTAATACGACTCAAAGATCAAAAATGCTACAAAATGTTTGAGTTTTCCCAAATGCTGAGTCATTTATCTATCACAAACGTTGCATGGTTTATAGTGTAATAATTATACTGTTAGTTGAAGTTAACTTGATTGTTTGACATACAATTTTGTCTCCTGTTCTTTAAATAGATACATTTTTTATAATTATATGAATGTTACTTAATGTACTTGTAGACAAGAATTGTTTGATTGTACCAGTCACCTAACAGCTGAATTTCTGGTTCTCCAGTTGCTGAATACCATGTGTTAATGCACTTCTGACTATCTTGAATATATAGCTACTCCAAACCTGTGCTGTAGAAACCCAGTTGCCTCTGAAAATTTAGGAAATATTTGTAAAATAAAGTGTACTGTGAGTATATAACTGAACAAAATGTAACTTTTTAAAATGTGGTATCCATGCATATATTTTCAAAGTAGGTAAACTTCCTCCCAACTCAGTAGCCAAGCTGCCAAAAAACTAGAAACTTGACTGTTGACATATATACATATATTTACCTTATTTAAGAACCTTTTTTTTTAGCAACTTGTAGGATTAATTAGTTCCTGTAATAGATGTAGAGCTGGTAGATAGTTGCAAAGTTTGTTGAGGCTGATTTTTTTTTTTACAATGAGAAAAGTTTTTTTTAAATTTAACCCACAAGTAATTTACATGTGAATAGCTTGTACTTAATGTATATATTATAATTCTACTGATGTATTTTATCAGAGTATTTTTGAATTGTAACAGGCCTTCTGTCTGGTTATTAGATTAATTCGGATATCACCTGAAAATGGAGTTAGTGAGTACAGGTCTGTGTATTGTAAACTGTTAAGAGTATATACATTTTAGTGATTTAATATTGTTGCTGCAAACTGTAGAAATGTCATGATTATGTCTCCCATAATGCATTGTACTTGTGCTAAGGCCAGGTGTGTGCTTATGCATTGCATGTTCATTTCAACATTCTACTCACTTTGTGTGTTCATTTCGTAGTACAGGGGTCATTTTGGCTTTCATTAAAAAAAGGAAACATAAATGAAAAAAAAAGCACAACCGCTTTAAACAGGTTTCAAGTATTTTTAAACAGAGGCTGTTTATGTACATTTGTTATGTTACTGTGGTTTTGTATTATTATTTTTTGAAATGCTATCATATGTCGCAAAATTTTATGGTTTTTACACTATTAAGCTTTGTCCTCTAGAAAAATATAGAAAACTGGCGTTTGCATAAATTATGCTAATTGGTACTATTTGCTTCAGATTGTACTGTCTACCGGGTAATATGCACTTTATTCAAATTTTATAGTCACATAAACGACGGTCTGCAATAAAAAATGTGTTTTAAAAGTGTTTTAAAATGAATTGTGACAGGTTTATGTTGATTTGTTTCTGTTTTGTAGTTGTACCAAAAAATGGAAGGGAAAATTTTCCCAATTATTGTATTGTGTTATCTATTTATCTATTTTTTTTTTGGCTTGCTGTTTTGAAATAATGGGAAAGTCATAGTAGTGGCAATTTTTTTTTTTTTTTTTTTACTTTTGAATAATTATAATTTTTTCTGTGCTTTTTTTCAGCATTTTCTTATTATCTCACATTGTTCTGTGAATGTTATCAATACAGGGTGTCTTTTTTCATATTTTTTTTCTACATTGTAATAAGGTGATTACTATCATACATTCTGTATGTATAGATGACCTTCCCCACCCTATGCTATGATCTTCCAACCATATGCTGTGATCTTCAAGTACCCTACCTTTTGTAGTCCATCTTTCCATCTTATGCTGTGATTTGCTCCAACTATGTAATGATATCCCCACCCTATGCTATGATCTGCCTGCCCCTAAATATACAGGGCAAGTGTAGTTTAACTATGTTTTTATTATTTTTAATCTTTAAAAATGATTAGTTTCATATATGTATCTTGAACTATCTGTGATATGACATGTATTGTGGATATTCCATGTTACATTTCACCTACTTGGACAATAAAGTATCTTTCTCCCTGACAAGACAGAATAATCTACAATACTATTTTTCTGATAGTTTCATTGATTGGAATATGGTGAAAAGAAATTGTTTTGATACATGATTGTACCGATATTAAAATTAAAACTCTGCCTTGATGTCTTCCTCTTTCCATCACTTCCGTACA